GGAAATGGAAGCGATAGGGTTGTTGTTGTGGTGGAAAAAATACAAGGGAAGGGTTATTGTTGTGGCAGCTGAAATGGAAGAAGAAATCGAGAGGTCGGCTACCGAATAAAGGAGGAAATAAAGAGGTTGGTCGACGACTTTAGAGGAGGAGAGGTAAAGGTTGTAGAGCTTGAGTTTTTCTATTTATCGAGGCTTTAAGTTGTTGATGGAAATGAGTGGAAATAGTGTTTCTCTCTCTAGTTTTTTTAGGAAATAAATAAATTGCCCTCCTTCTATATGAGAGAGAAAGAAAACTTATATAGTGAGTTGTTAAGGTTTTTCTCGTTTTTTAGGAAAACCCTAACTTACCTTTTTAATTTTTTATTTTTTTAATTTCTTATCTCATCTCTTTATTTTCTCTTCAAACCCCATATTCAATTGGAACTCATTTTAATTAAACCCCCAATTAAATTTTTGTTGGTTTTAATTTCCCATATATTTGTTTTTAATTAGACCCCAAATCTTATTTTTTTTCATTTCTTTCTCTCTTTTTTCTTCTCTCTCTCTCTCTTTGTCTCTCTCTTGTTAATTTTTATAAAGTCCTAAAAATTATGGGATTCCTAAAAAAATCATAACCTAAGGGTAAAAAATTTCACAATCAAACAAATTAACAAAATACATTTAATTTTTATTTTTTTTAGAAAAAAAGGTGTAAAACAAAAGGTTCAAAAATTGAGTGATAACAACACACATGTAGAATTTAATATTTAACTATCATGAAAACACATTTCAATACCTTCAAAGACATCTCTAGAGTATTCTCTCACCATCAAATAATTTCCACCATCTTAATGTTCATTCATCCTCATGTTCAAGGACAATCTCACTTGACGTGACCAAATTCTTTGCACCAAGTAATATTGAATGTCATTTTTGTTGGATTTGGACTCAAAACTACTACTCCAATATCTTCTTTCAACTAATCTTTACTACTACTACCTTCTTTCAACTAGTCTTTCTTTTCAATTCTTCCTTTTAATCACCAATATAATGTTATATGTATTTACTTGATTTGGTTCTTTTTTTTTTTTTTTTTTTGCATATCGGGAGATAAAAGCATAACCTATACTTGGTCTAGATTCATTATATCATTACCATCCAATATCATTATTACCGGATTACCAAATGAATCAAGGTAAGAAGCAAAAGAGTCTTATCTTTTTTCTCAATCTTGACATCATTTCAGTAATTGATTTAGTGTATCATTAAATACATTGAAGTGCTTCATGACCTCTATCTTCATATTGTAGTACATTTGCTACTTTAGATGTAACTCATTGGTTAAATTCTCCGATAAATAAAGATTTTTTATTTTTCTCAAATTGCGAGTGTCGAATCTTCATCTATAACATTATAGATAATTTTATCGGTAACATAGATTCTAATTGTGCTCACATACTTTGATTCCAACTCTTCATATTGGTCCTTCTCCATCCCTTTTAGCTTTTCATCCTTTCCCTTTAATGCTTTAATCAAGTCTTGTTGAATAAGACTCGTCATTCACCCATTGTTGTCAAATATTAAAACTTATTTTTTTATTAATTTTTTTATAATAAATTGATGTTGTTCATAATTAAGAACTAAATCTTTCAAAACCAAAGCTCTAATAATAGTTTGTTAGGAAATTAAAGATCGATATTCAACACACACGCCATCATAAACAACTCGGTTAATTGGAAATAAGATACAAAGAAGAATAAAAGATTGAACACATAAGATTTTAATGCGATTAAGCAAAATCCTACTACTCTATGGACATTAGATAACCCTTTTTACAATGAGAGAAAATTGAAAGATTGTGATTGTGATTTTTATACCAAAAAGCCAATCTCAAAGCTTTATGTACACCTATTCTCACCAAAAAAAAAAAAAAAATCTAAATTTTTGTCTTTTTTACACTTAAACACTACTCATCTCCTCTCTAATTTTTAAAGGCCAAATGCTTGTTAAATAAGGAAGGAACAAACTTGATGACCAAGTTTACAAATTTAAAAACTACTCCACTCTTCCTTAGTCCCCTATGCTATTTAGTTGGCCAAGTTACCAAAAAAGAAAAATGACATGTGTAGTCAAAGAGCTATCGATTGGTAAAACTAGAGGAGAGGAGAGAAGCTATCGATTAGTAGAAATAGAGGAGAAGATACGAGAGGTTGGTCAAAAAAATGGAGGAAATGAAAAGGTTGGCTAGCGAGCTTTGGAAGAGGAGAGGTAGAGGATGAGGAGCTTGATTTTTTCCAACTATGGAGGCTTTGTGTTGTTGATGGCAATCGGTGGGAGCATGTTTTCTCTCCTTAAATTTCTTTTTGTAAAAGAAATGAGCTACCCTCCTCCTATAAACGAGAGAAAGAGAACTTATATATTGTAGGCTATTAGGGTTTTTTTAGGAATACCCTAACTTGCCTTTTTTTTTCTTTTCATTTTTTTATTTCTCCTCTCATCTCTTTATTTTCTATTCAAACCCCATTTTCAATTGGTACTCCTTTTAATTGAATTCCCAATTGAATTTTATTTAGTTCTAATTTCTATGGTTTTTGTTTTTAATTGGACCTCATATCCCAATTTTTCATTTCTCTCTCTTTTCTTCTCTTTTTTGCCCCTTTTTTTGGTTAATTTTTCTACAATCTAAAAAATTATAGGATTCATTAAAAAAAAAAACCCTAACTCAAGGATAAAAATTTACACAAGCAAGCAAATTAAACAAAACGCATTTAATTTTCATATTTTTTTCAAGAAAAATGTGTAAAACAAAGCAATAAAAAATTGAGTGATAACAACACACAGGTAGAATTTAATATTTAACTATTATGAAAACAAGTTTCAATACCTTTAAAGACATCTCTAAAGTATTTTATGACCATTAAAGAATTTACACTATTATCATCTTTGTTCATCTTTTTTTCGAGGATAATCTTGCTTGATGTGGTCAAATTCTTTACACCAATAACATTGAATGCCATTTTTTTTAGATTTGGACTCGGACCTACTACTCTAATATCTCCTTTCAATTGATACTTTTTTTTTTTCAATTCTCTCTTTTAGTCACCAATGTAAAGTTTTATTTATTTACTTGATTTGACTTTTTTTCATATCATGATATAAAAACACAACTCGTACTTGGTCTATAATCATTATATCCTTATCATACAATAGCTTTGTAATCGGATTACCAAATGAATTGAGAAGTGAGGTAAGAAGCAAAATCTTGACATCAAATTTCCGCAATTGATCCATCGTATCATTAAATACCTTCAAGTGCTTCATCACCCTCATCTTTATATTGTACATTTGCTACTTTAGATGCAACTTATTGGTCAAACTCTCTAACAAATAAAGATCATTACCGATAGTTTTATCAACAATATAGAGTCTAATTGTGTGCACATACTTTGATTCCAACTCCTCGCATTTGTCCTCCTCCATCTCTTTTGGCTTTTTATCCTTTTCCTTTATGAATTAGCCAAGTCTTGTTAAATAAGAATGTCTTTCACCCTTCATTGCCAAATATTAAAACTTATTTTTTCGATAAATTATTCTATAGTAGATTGATGTTGTTCACAATTAAAAGCTAAATCTTCCAAAACCAAAGCTCGATACCAATTTGTTGAAAAATTAAGGATTGATATTCAACACACACCACCGCGAACAACTTAATTCAATGAAATTAAGATACAAAGATGAGTAGAAGATTAAACACATATGGTTTTAATGCAACAAAGTATAGCCTACTCCATGGACAGGAGATAGCCCTTTTTACTATGAGAGAAAATTAGTAAAAGATTACGATTATGATTTTTATATCAAAAAACTCAATCTCAAAGCTTCATGTGCACCTACTCTCATAAAAAGAAGCCTTTTAGTCTTAGTATTTTTCATAAAGAAACCTATCAATCTTAGTATCTTTTACACTCAAACACTACTCATCTCCTCCTTAGTCGCCTACTTTATTTAGTTAAAAAAAAAATGAACTAGGTCACCACAAAAGAGAAAAATGACATATGCGAGAGATAAGTGAGCACTATTCGGTTACAATCAAATTGAATCGAACCGAATTAGCAATTTTGGTTCGATTTTGTATTAAAAAAAATTGAAAAAAAAATCAAAACCAAAAATTAAAATATTTCGGTTCGATTTTAAAAAAAAAATTGTTTTTTTATCGAAAACTCGAATTACTCGTTTTGTTTTTTTAACACACACACATTCAAGGCTCCTAACAACACTAGTCCGTTAGGATTTGAAACCCATGACCTCTTGCAAGAGACTACCACCACTAAATTACAAGTTCTTTGATACCAAATTAATTAGAGATAAGCACTATTACAAGATCGGTCATAGCATTTTTCTATACTCTTTTTTTTTTTTTTATTCAAGCTATTAGCATTCCTTAAAAATCGGAAAAAAAAATTATGAAAAAATGGTCTTTCAACTTGGTCTAAGAGAAAATTCAAAATTCAAAAGAAAAGATATCAAAAAATATATATAGTTTTTAGTTGAAAATCGAAAAACCGGACCGGAAAATTTGATTTTTAATCAAAAAATCAAACTTCAATTCGATTCGGTTTCGATTTTTGTTTTAATCAATTCGATTAAAAAAAAACAAAAAACAAAAAACAAAAAAGAACCGAAAAAGCCGAATGATCATCTCCGTTTACGGGCAGCTATTTACGGAAAGCAATGCTACTTATAGTCCAATCAGAATCATTTTTGGTTATAAGCACGAAATTGTGAAATGAAGTAGGCAAACAATCACTCAATAACGGCTCAGCAAGAGTGACAAAAACTAATCATATAATATAACAAATTACTTTATTTCCTTGAAGTAGCAAACTGACTTAGTCACTCTACACAAGAATTTTTGTAAAAAGCATGGACCCCCAAGTAGGGTCTCTCTACATAGCAAATTGACTTGGTCACACTCTACACAAGAATTTTGTAGGGTCTCTCTATATATCAAGGCCAAAGGTTTAGTAATGCTCTTGATAGATTGCTCCAAATTCCGCTCTCCAAGCCTGGTCATCGTCTGGGATCGTGTTGTCAGAATCCTCTCGGTATAGTGGTTGCAATGCAGATTCTGGCAGTCTGCTTTCTGCCATGTACTGCTTCATGGTGATCATCTCCATTTTGTGTTTTCTCTTAAGCTTCTCCATTTGCTTCTTTAATTTTTCATTTTCTTGATGAACCACAGTAGAGTTCTCCTGCGTATGTGATGAAATCAATGATAAAATTAATCAGATACCTATCACAGCACTTGATAAGGGTGTGAGAAATGCCCTCTCACATTCTCACGTCCCTGGAATGGATATCCTATTCCATAACACTGCTATGAGTCACATTTTCTCATTTAACATTTCTAAAGCATACATTCATAATAAAGGCAAGTAATGTGTAATCAAATCAGGTTACCTCTGCAATTGAGGCAGCATGCTCAGCTTCTCTCAGCCTTACAAGGAGTTCTCCGGCAGCATGAACAGCTTCTGCAGTGTCTCTAAGCTGGATTTTCAGACTCTTATTCTCCTTCTTTAAGAACTCCCTTTCCCTTTCCCTTTCCACTCTTAAGGCAGAAAGTTCAGCTGCAAGTGATTTGGCAAAGCGTGTTCCACCTTTTGTCCCTGCCTTTGCTGCTGCCCTCTTCACCTCTGCTATCCCTCCCATGATTGCACGGTGCTTTCCAACCAAGTCATTATGCTTCTCCTGTAGATCAGCATAGTGTTCAACCATTCTAGCATGCCCAAGAACAGCCCTATGAAGTGCATCATCTAACTCCTCTGTGCATTTCTTCTCTAATCTCAGTTCCATCTCCACCTTCTCTGCATGCTGACGACTGGATTCAAGATCAACCCTAAGGTCATCTGTTAAGGAAATCCAATCACTCTCCATTTCTGTCCATCTCTGTCTCTCCCTCTCAAGTTCTTCCGTGCTATTATTTTCTAGGTCTACTCTTTTGCGTAGTTGAATGGATTGTGCCAACAAAGAGGATCTCAGCTTTTCAGTAGATTTTTTTGCGGATGCATCAGTATATGACTGCAACTTCGTCCGTAAGCTTTGAATTTCCAGAAGAAGTGCTTCCTTCTCCTTCAAATCAAAATATTTGTTTTCATGGTCCAGCACTTCTTCTATTTTATATTTTTTTCTCTAATCCCAGGCTGATTATTCCCATCAACACTGGATCTCGGAAACTGCACAAATCAACAGGAACAATGAGACACAGAAAAATTGAAGTAATAAAAGTATCTGCACTTGATGAAAGCAGTTATTAACCTTGTTTTGATCCTTCAGTGACTGGTACTCTTCATCTTCACATGCTGATCCCTCAAATAGTATCATTTGATTCTTCGATTCCCTGAGCAGAAGCTTATTGCCTTCTTGACCATGTGTCATGTAATGTTCCCTTTCCTGTTCGTACTTTTCAACCTGAAGAAATACAGATTGTCAATAAAAGTAAAATTATTTTGTCGAATTACAGTATTTAGATGTGTGATCAAAAGAATTATTACCAGTTGATTCAGCTGCTCAATTTTAGTTGCTTGCTCCATACAAAAATTTTCAAGGTCCTCTCTGTTATTGGTAATTAATAAACCATTCCCTGAATCCTGACATATAGATTAAGCAAAAAGGATAAATATAACAAGAAAATAAACAAAAAAGTTTATAGCACTTCTCTTCAGTTAATATTGAGCATACTTTGACCACTTGACTTGTCAGTTGGTTAGGGTTCCCAGCTTCATCTGCTGCCACAGTCGATGTCAAGCTATCCTGGGCCTCGTTTGAACTATCATTGATTTTCCGTTTACAAGACGCGCAAAGTAGAGAAGCAGATGATCCATGTTCTGCTAACTTCTGAAGAGAAGCATTCACTCTGTCAACTTCTGAACAAGGTTTTAATGTCAAGTGCTCGAAGGAGAAAGAAACTGAAGATCTGTTTGATGCAGAGTTACGATGATGATAATCAATAATCTGCATGCCTCTCTGAAGGCTAGCCGCCAAGGACTCAGTGGGGCCTGGAAACATCTTGCTGGAATGCAAAGATGATCTGATGCTTTCACTTTGCTTAAGTGACTGTGGCAGCACATCTGACGGGAAGTTGGAGCTCTTTGACACGTTGTTCTGACTTGCTGAAAATAGTGATGGAATGGCCATGCTTTTGCTGGTATTTCCAATTTTAGGAGACTCAGACAACATTGGCTCATGGAGAACTGCAGACTGACGGCATGGACTAATAGTAATGCTAGTTCTATGTGGAGGATCTGAGGCATTAGGGGCAGTTGGGAGGTCATCTTCAGATTCCACACCTTCCGTTCCTTTCTCGAGATTGATTTCTTCACCTTCAAATTCATGCGGGCCATTCACTTCCCAATCACTCATCAAATCCTTCTCAAAGCTTTCTTCTACAGAAGAAAAGTGTGAGGAGCTTCCATTATCAGATAGATCTCTTGAGTTGTCATCAGGAGAACTATGTAATTTATTGAGTTGCTGATGTAGTTCCCTCACATCATTCTCATCAACGTTCACCTCATTGTCAGAATCAGTATCTATGCGGGGTAACATCAAAGAGCGATTAAGACTCGTTCTTAAGTGATTCAAGCTTTCTCGTACATTTCTCCCCTTGAAGTATCCACTTTTGCTCCCAGATGAATTATGTACAACAGATTTCGCTCTTATAAGTTCTTCCTGTAAGAGACCAGATACACATTTAATAAGGTAATAAATACCTTTAGATGAAACAGGTTCCTGAAGGAAAAATCTAATACCTTCAACAAACGAATTTGATCACTCAAATCATTAACATCATCCTCCGATATTTCATTTATAACAGGGTCATTTTTTATGAATTTAACTCGCTGGCCAAATCTGAGCGTCCTTAGCGTCTCAGCATTGTTTCTGCATCCAACAAGCACATCACTGTCGTAGAATAGAACAAGAGATCACGAACACATATTCAAATAGGATCAAGAATATTTGTGCTCTATAATGCATAACAAGAGACTCAATCTGATGACAATAAACCAAAGCAAGTAAACTAGTTGGAATATCCATATGGTATATCGGGTATGCTGGAATCAATAGCAGTATAGCAGCATCCTTCTTTTTTCCTCAAAATCACAAGAAGGAAAGCCATTGGGTTACCTTTTATTAGGGGAGATGCTACATATAACTGTGAGTTTTGAATTGCCACCCAGTGATTCTCGCAGCAAATGAGTTAAACAGGATCCTTCGTATGGCATATCTGCAAATTTCCCTGGTTGATTTCCTTTTGCAAGAGTGTTCACCAATTGCCTGAGAGACAATGAAACAAAATTGCGATTAACGAAATACATGAATGAAACAACTGTTAACATGCTCTTACATTAAGCACCTAATTCATGCGTGGAAAAATGAAGGCCTTTAACAAGAAAATACATTTCAGCTTAATGGAGCATAAATACTGAATATGAACATGATCATAAAGCTTGTATCTTATCTTGACAAGAAGAAGTATTGTTTTGTTACTACTTATATAGTTCCGAAACCTTCAGAGGGAAGTGGTGGCATCATACCCAAGCTGTGATAGGGACTTCTTTACACTTTTGCATTCCCGCATAAATTGTATACCAGCATCACCAAGTTTATTTCTATCCAGTCCGGCAAGATCAACGAGGCTGATTCTGCTGATTTTTGAACTACTGAAACATTTTGATGAAGTTCCCTGGCATATGAGCACATGTAAATGATGGAACCATTAAAAAAGAAAAATAACACTACAAGATGATACCAAAATCCAAAAATATATAATTGGCTCAACATGGTATTTCATAGTTAACTATCTGAACAACGTATGTAAGCATGACGCCATTTCACAAGGAATTATATCTATTCTAAGAGAAAATCACTTTCTGGAAAAGTAAGATAAAATCCTTTGATTGTGATGGCATCAATTAAGCTAGAGAATCCAATGATACAGACCTTGCACCAGGACTCAATGATCATAGTAAATACAATGTGGGACCTAGAGCTCTTAGAATTTACGCTCGTTGCTCCAACCTTTCTACTTGAGAGCCCCTGCATTGCATAAGTAGATATTCACTATGGGAAAATAAGGAGAACCATCAATGGCAGAACATAGATGACAATGAATTAAAGATGCTATCAAGAACTAACCATGAGTTCCTCAAAAAAGACCCAAACCCCAGGGATATTGAAATAATTATAGTTGTTAGCCTGCCTACCTTGATCAAAACTTGAGTTACATCCTCGTAGCTGCTCACATACTCCTCGGTCAAATTCTTGACGTATAATCCATTTTTTGGATCATCCTTTATCTAGAAAATATTATTTCAAGCCAATTATTATATTCAAGCATTAAATAATTAAGGTGTTTCAAAGAAGCATTGACAAAGAAACAAAATTCCAAGTGCAGGACATTCCACCTCAAGATTTCTTTGCACTGGATCAAGCAAGTCCCCTATTTGCCCATTGTATATCTGCAATCACCAATCAATTAGTACAATACAAAATGACATACAGGCAGCAAACAGCCCACGTTCTATCCATAACTTCTAAGACAGACAACACATACCTCAAGAAAAGAACATCTGCACTGATAATTGATCTGCTTCATCTGGGAGTTGTCTTGCTCCTGCGAAAGACAATCCGAACTCATTGTTACTAACTATTTTCCCATAGAACTAATTAGAAAACAAAACAAAACAAAACATACTCGCTGAATCTCCGAGAACAGCATATGGAAGATGCGAGGAACAAGGCCTAGGTTACTGCTCGGCGAAGGATCCTCAACCATCGCACTTGGTGGGCCCCACATGGTGTATGTCTTACCACTTCCGGTCTAGTTAATTAAGTATCCAAAAAAAATTACGAAAATCATTATTAACAATAAGCAAAAGAAGTGTTAGCATAACACACAGTTGACGAAATATACCTCTCCATACGACAAGATGGACGAATTGTAACCTGCTAATGCACTTTTAACCAAAGGAACCCCAACTAACCGGAAGACATCTTCCTGGTACACACACAATCCAACAGCATATGAATAAAAATTTATTAATAGAATAAAAGAAATAAAGAACAGGAGTAAGTAAATGCTTGTTTGTTTGTTTATGCTACAATTCAAGTAGAAGAGTATTGAACCTGTTTTGAATTCGAATCAAGAACCGAATCGAAATTGAATTTCCTATCACCAATTGATACCGAATTCGAAGAAAGCGTCTTCACTACACCATCACCACCCTCTCTTTCATGATCGTTTACTGCTCTAATTCTCACCACAACCTTTTTATTATTCAAAAATTAATAAGTAAATAAATAAATTAGCTGTGTTATTGTCAAGAAAGGGGGAAAAAACAGTTTAGATCAGACAAAAAACCTTCACTGCTGGATCCAAATCCTCCAATGCTGAATCACTTTGACCGTTGGATCCATTGATCTCTCCCTGTAAATTCAAAAAAGAATCAGCAACAAAGTTTCAAAAATGATGAAAAGAAAATTAATCAGATAGATTGTAAAAAAAAAATACCTGGAGCGGTGGTGGGTCCCGAGGGGAGAGTGAATTTTTTTGAATCTGAGCGTCGGATCTGCTGAGAGAAGAAGAAGACAAAGATTTGGAGGGTGGAGAGTGTTTAGGGATGGAAGGGGAGAGAGGAGGGTCGTTGATTAGGATGTTAGGGTGAAGTGGAGGAGTGTTTTCTGAGAATTTCTTAGATTTGCGCTTTGAAGAAGACATGGATCTGGGAAGTAAATTTCTTATCGATGATGATGATGATAAGGTTCCTAGGAACCGATTATTCTCGTTGGCTTCTGCTTTCATGCTTTTGTTTTCTGTGTTATGCTTTAGAGAGAGAGAGAGAGTTTGTAACAAATGGTGAGGATAGGAGAAGGTTTTTGTTAAGACCTGAGAGAGATAGATGACCGTTGGAACTTGGAGGAAGGAATTTAAATTGAACTTCTGATTGTGAAATGACTATAACGCCACTACGTCTCGTTTCCTAATTATTCCTTGCGATGTGTATCCCATTCAGCTAGGAAAATGATCATAACAAAAATAAAATACTGTTATGAAATAATGAATATCTATGACCATTTCATAATGATTCAATTTATTATTTAATATGAAAAATTAAAAAAGTGATGCAATTCATATATCTTTTAATAGTTTATAGTCTTTTTCAATTCTCTATTTAATCTTGAAGCTTATAAATATGCTTAATTATTCATTAGTTGATATATAAGCATTTTGTAGAGATTAAGAGAATTGTTTAGACTTGTTATCTTTTTTAGTCTCTTCATTTCATAGTGAAATCATTTCTTCATTATTTTTCTCACCAATTCTATCACCGTTACCATTTCTTTTATAATACGTTATCGGCATGAAATTCTAATCAATCGAGACAATAGACCATGAGGTATGTATCTACTAAAAGACTTAATCAATTGTTTCAACTACTATATTTCTTCTATACAAGCGCTCTACCAAAAGATATAAATTATTTAGATTATTAAGAGGTATGTATTTAATTTATCATGTATTTTAAATCTAATGATATATAGAATATATATTTGAAAAAATTAAATGATTTAATTTATAGAATCTAATAATCTAATATATATTATTTGAAAAGTTCAAATTTTATTATTATGTTTGTTTTTATTTAAATTTTGTTATTAAATTTTGTCTTTATTTTATAATATTATTATTATACTTTGCAATATACAATTTTAATGATATTAACAATCATAAAACTTGATTTTGTGGCCCTTGACATTTTGAGCAAGAACTATTGATCATGAGTGCTTGATGTTGAGTTAATATCATCTACTTTTTATGTTTCGAATATTCTCCTGTAGTAGTATATCAAGAAAAAGAGTTTAAAATATATTTTGAATCAATTTCATACTTGTTTGTGGCTAAATAAAATTAAAAGCTATTGATGAAAAAAATAAATCTCGTCCAATTGGATCTACTCCATTACTTGAAGTGAATGTGAAAATTTATAAAAATTTTAAACATGGACAAAGATGTGGTCATAGCTATGGACATGGTCGAGATAATCATCATTATAATCGTGATAACCATAATATTACACCTCACCACCAAAAGTGAATAACTATGAAAAAAACAGAATAAAAATAAATAAAGTCGGTATTCTAAAAATGAATGCTATATATATGATATGAATGGACACCGATCGTGTACCTATCGTACACTAAAGAACCTCATTAAGCCTTGTCAAACCTCGTTGAAAAAAAAAAAAGAGTAAAATATAGAGACCAATTTTATATATCAAAATAAATATAATTGAAATTAATAACTTGTTAGCTTTTTTATTTATAAATAAGTTGTTTTATATTTTCTTATAATTTATATTGCATAAAGATAATTATAAATTTATTTTACTATTTATTTATTTATGTTTATGAAGAATTTATTTATTTTGTATTTATTTATTTATTTATTTTATGTTAGTATTATATATAATAATATCAATCTAATAGAAAGCTCCGGAAGAGCGACTATATTATTATTTAAAGAGATAAATTTTGAAGGCTTTAAAAAAGCAATTATATCACGACTCGAATAGACAAATTTTTTAAGCTCTAGAAGAATGAATATATTATTACTTAAAGACTAATTTTTAAAGGCTTTAAAAGAGTTAATATATTATTACTTGAAGTGACATAATTTAACGGCTCTAGAAGAGCAAATATTTTATTATTTGAAAAGATAAATTTTATTATAAATGATGTATTATTTTCTCTAAAGTCTCATAGAAATTTATTGAGTTTCAAAGATATTCATCTAAATTGATATCATATCAAGACAACAAATGTAGAAAATATTGACTACTTATATATTATAATTATTATATCGGGTACAAAATATGTATTAAAAAATTTATCCGCTTTCTCTTTTGGTCTTTATTATAAATATTTGAATGATTGAAATAAATGGTATAGTAAACTTAAAAAAAGGGTGATGCAATTCATACATCTTTTAATAGTTTATAGCCTTTTCCAATTCTCTCTTTAATCTTGAAGCCTATAAATAGGCTTAATTATTCATTAGTTGATATACAAGCATTTTGTAGAGATTAAGAGAATTGTTTAGACTTGTTATCTTTTTTATTCTCTTTATTTCATAGTGAAATCATTTCTTCATCATTTTTCTCTCCAATTCTATCATTGTTATCATTTCTTTTATAACAAATACTCCTTCATGAATTTAATTCTAAAAACTAATTATTTGATGTAATCGAATTATGTCGTTAAAAATGATGAATGAAAAGAACGGGTAATAAATAAACGTGTTTATGCAAATTTTAATAGACTAAGTCTAAAAAGGAAAATGATTTAAGGCTCGAATTTGTGCCAAATTAACCATGATCAAGTGGGATTTAACGAGCAGTATTCTTTGGTAATAATGGAATTGGGCTTGTATTTGTGAGGACATGGCTCTCGTTTTTAGAATGATAACGATAATACAATACAAATTTAAAAATAAAATAAAATAATACAATATAGTAAAACAAAAAAGAAGAAGAAAAAAAATTATAAGAATAAAACATATTGCACTAAACTTGTTTGTGACTTTGAGTAACATGATAAATCTTAGGGATGATTATACAATTTTTCAAAATTTTGGTTTGGTTTTCTATTAATCAAACTCGAAAAAACAAAAATCTAATCCGACTAAATTATTATTCGTTTTCGGTTTAAACCAATTTTTTATTATTTTTGTTCAATTTTTAAAATAATATAAATAGACCAAAAAAACAATCATGTATCTATAATAATTTTAAAGTATTAATTTTTTATGTTACTTGCACTATTTTAAATCTTTAAAAAAAATCTAAAAAATTAATTCGAAAATAAATAAAAAATTCAATTTTTGGAACCAAACCAAAACTTTGAAAAATATTTGATTCATTTTTTTTATTTTTATTTTTTTAATTTTTGATATTTTGATTGAGTTAAAGTTGATCATTTGATTAAAATAAATAGTAGTGGCAAAATCGGGATTTGAAATTAAAGAGGACAAAATATAATATTCTTATGCATTAAAAAAAAAAAAAACCTAATGCAATACATACTAACATAAATGAAGTAGCTAAATAGTTAAATATTTCAAAGAAAAACTATTCATAACCATTCTTTAATAAAAAAAATTACAATTTTTCTTTATGATTCTTCATGCCTTAATAGCGATGCATGATAACTTAATTATCAATAGCGTTAAATATATCCTTTTCAATATATGTGATCAAACAATTAGACATTCATTAATCTCCCATCTTGTTATGTAATCGATTCTTTATAAATTTCATAGCAAAAAACGTTCTTTCAACTATGATAGTTACAACTCGGTAGAATAAGAGCTAAAGTGATGAGTCAATAAACCAATGAATACAAAATACCCTTTCTTATCCGCACCATTTTTTAGCAAAATCACCAATTCCTTTAATGTTAGAAAACTCACAACTAAACTTCATATCAATGATATATGTTTCCAACTAATTTTCAAGGGCAATGAGTTGGATAATAGAGAAATCAACAGGATAAAATTAAGCAATATGAAGCAACTTATTTCTATCATAAGCGAGAGAATGAATTAGCCGAGCTCAAGCATGCAAAACATAAAAACAACTAATTTTCAAGAGCAATGAGTTGGATAATAGAGAAATCAACATGATAAAACTAAGCAACATGAAGCAACTTATCTTCATCATAAGCGAGAGAATGAATTAGCCAAGCTTAAGCATGCAAAACATAAAAGCAACTCTATGTTCACCTCATCAAACTGATTATCAAGCTTTTAAAGTTGCAAATCTATAACCGCACAAAATAACTCAATCTTGTAATGATGCATGTTTGTGACTTTCTCGGCATTATATCAAGTCGTCACCTAGTAATATGGGTATCTTTCATATTAAGGACTTGTATATTATGGCTAGTACAAAATAAAGATACCTCATCTAACAATGAATTCCATCTATTATCTCGCATTAATTGCTTAGCTATTTTAACCAAGGCCATATCATTCACAATATCTTGATCTTTTCTTTGCAATGCTTGTGCTAATTCATGAGTAATTCCTAATATGTGTTTCATCAAATGAAGAAAAAATGAAATATCAAAAGATTGCAATGAATCCAATAAAGTGCAAGCTTCAACTTTTTGGTCGGACTTTTCATTTTCCATAACCAATTCAAGGACATCAACTATAAAACAAAACATCTTAATCAAGCTAATCAAAGTAGTGTAATATAAACCCTATCGTATCTCTCCAACCCGTTTAAGAGTAGACTCTTGATTTTTTTCCTTGCCCACTTTGAAGTTCACCTTACAATATTATAACTATGTGCAATGTTCATCAAACCAAGATGCATGAAATCCTCTTAACACATTTTCTTGTAGGAGTTTTTTAAAATTTATGTTCACAAGGTTGACAAGGTCTTTTTTGTAGATATGCTCTTTGAACTTCATCCCTTATTTTAAGATGATAATCTATAATTGGTTTTCGCAATGCAGGATGTGATGGAAGATTTGCTAAATCAACTTCATAAGATTTTTTTTTTCAAATTATGGCATCTTCATCATGACTTTCTTGGTTTTGAACAAATGGCAATGATTCGGACATAGTTTTTCTCTTAGAGTATCTTTCCATAACTAAAAAAGAAAGAAAAAACGAGAGAGAAACAATAACGGTTATCAAATATATATTATATT